TTAACCTTCGTCTGATATTGTACGGTCAATAGTACATCAGACTACACATTTTTGTGAAAATCGCTCCAGTGCAACGGAACAAGATACGTCAATGTATAGCTTGATGTGCTGGCGCATGGCGTGGTGTACATTAAGTATCTCTTGTCGTTATAATTAGGTAACTGAATAATCTCAGGCGTGAAACTTATAGTTATTATATATTATCTCGATATTAGAAATACCCTGATGTAGCGACAGCAGGTACTGAATTCGTGCTTACGTAATTTTCAACTTACACTTCATAAAGGCTATAAACATTTATAGCCTTTATGAAGTGTAAAAATATATAATGGAAGGAAACCGGCAAAATGAATCCGAAGACAGGTCGTCCGGTGAGTGTTGATGGCGTAGTGCACTCTAAGGACCTTTTCATGGAGCATTTCAAAGTCGAGCCCCGTGAGCTGCCGGACCGCGGGTGGGTGCGAGAAACTTCCTATTATGGTGCCCCATCTATCTCTCAATTCACTGATGATGATATGGCATCTATCATTAAGGGAATAACGAAGGGGAAGTCATCAGGGCCCGATGGCTTGAGCGTAGAGCATCTAAAACATGCGGGTAAGCGATTACCGGGGGTTTTGTCTCAATTATTTAATATTTGTTTGAGGCACTCGTACCTACCTGCCGGTTTGATGCAGACGATGGTGGTACCTCTTGTTAAGAACAAAAGGGGGGATGTGTCTGAGAAAAACAATTACAGACCTCTATCATGGCAAAGGTACTGGACGGTTTGCTTGATCGCATTTTAACTAAACACCTAAAAATTCATGATGCGCAGTTTGGGTTCAGGCCTGGACTTTCTACAGAGTCCGCTGTGTTTTGCCTCAAGCATACTGCTCGGTATTACACGGACAGAAGTACGCCTGTGTATGCGTGCTTCCTTGATTTGTCTAAGGCCTTCTATATGGTCTCGTATGACGTGTTGTGGCATAAGCTGAGATGTGAGACAAATCTCCCATTTGAGATTGTTGGGCTGTTCGAGTTTTGGTATCAAAACCAGATCAACAATGTTAAGAGGGCTGGGTCGCTGTCGGAACCATACAGGTTGAGTTGAGCTTACTAGAGTTTTTAAATTTACATACCTGGGTCACTGGGTGACGGATGATCAGTCCGATCTGGTGGATATAGAGAGAGAACGGAGAGCCCTTGCAGTCAGAGCAAATATGCTCGCCCGCAGGTTTGCACGTTGTAGTGGGGAGGTAAAATTAACTTTCTAAAGCATACTGTCAAACCTTCTACACGTGTTGCCTGTGGGTGAAGTATAATAAGGTGACCGTAAATACGTTTAGGATGTTGTTGGGGTTACCACGACACTGTAGCGCTTCAGCTTCAGCTTCATGTTCGTCACGATGTGATTCACGCACAGATGCCATTCTGAGGAAGCGGGTTGCCTCGCTTTGGCGACGTGTGCGCGGGTGCCCCAACAGCATTCTAAAAATTGTGGTTAATAAAATTTACTGCCCCATCCAGGCCCACTGGATGAAACTTCATGTGGCGGTTTAGTTTAATTTTACATGAGTGTGTTAAATTAATTTCAATTTAATAATTTTCAATTTTATATTTAACGTTGTAATTCGTGATTTATTTTTGAATTTTAATTGTATATTTCTTTTTGTTTTTCATTATTTTTGATTATCTTATTTTATTGTAATTTTAGCATTTGAATAGCATCATATTCCTAAGTTCTTTACTAACAAATTATGGATAACTTGTTGGTCCGAAATAAAGTATTATTATTATTGTTGTATTTATTTTAAACTCTTGCCTCTCCCAAGGCCTAAAAGATTAATTTTGAATTTTTAAATGGGAGAGGCGGTATTTATTGTATTTATTGTTATTATTATTACGATGACGATGACGATGACGATGACGATGACGATGGCTATTGCTATTACTATTACTATTATTATTATTATTGTATTTATTTTATTTATTATAATAATAATAAGGAAAGTTGCAGTTTCATGGTTTTGGTCTCAATAGTCATTTGACCATTGAATTTCTGATGTAATTTTTGCACCGCTACAAACTAACATTTTATTAGCTGTAGCGTTTTGTTTCATTTTAGGCGCGCCTAAAAGAAATTACAAACAAGCAAAGAACAACGGGCGACGTAAATAGTAGAAAAAATACCAAATGCAGTAGCATTTAAAGCAGTGGAAGAAGTTTGGCATAATAAATTACTATTACTAATTTCTTGAACAAGGGGTACGGTTCGTAAGATATAACAATAAATGATATATTTTTGGTCGATATAACGCTCAACGGATATAATTAATTTAAGATATAAGTACATACATTTCACATATTCTTGCATGTAAAGTTGGATATAGCTTATTGTTTTCTGAGGGGTTTAGACGATTGATATAACAACTTTCAATCTATTAGACCGATGCCATAATGCTGTACATATTATATTTATATATATTTATATAATATGTACAACATTATGGCATTTCAGATAAAACAAATATTTACATTTCAGATATAACAGTCACTGAGTATAATGTTTTATAAATATAATCCCAGTGTTGTTTAGGCGCAATGATGAGCGCAGTGAGAAGTATTAGGCTTGAAAACACATAAAAATAATCTTATATAACTGATACTTCCCTTTAAAGGCCCATTTAGATGGGGAGAGTTTCTCGCACGCTTCGAGACGAAAACTCGTAGGCGATTCTCGTAAGCAATAATCGCCATAAGATTATCGTATCATAATGTTTACATTCAGGCAAGAACTAAAATCTCGCCTACGATTATGTCATACGAGACTCGTAAGCAACTTAATCGCCTCCTCGACTGTTTACACGGAGAAATATGTAGTAAGGAGATTCTTGCTTACGAGTTTTCGACTTGTCTAAACACGATCTCGTATGACATTTTTTCAAGTTCATACGATTATCGTACAAATCGGTTCGAACCGTTTTGAGTGCGAGAATTGCCATTCGAGTTCAGTGATTACTGCGGTATTGACTATGGATATATCGAAATGACGCAAAAATCATTCAAATTTGGAACTGCTGATAATATTAAGTTCATTGCACTGTATAGAAATATAATTTTGATTTATCTTTTTTTTTTAAATTATATAACTACTGACACAAACAAAACTGACAATTATGATAAATTTACAGGGCGAGTGAGTGCGTGTGTGAGTGCGTGAGTGACTGAGTGAGTGAGTAAGTGCGTGCGGGCGTGCGTGCGCGCGGGCGTGCGTGCGTGCGTGAGTGAGTGAGTGATGAGTGAGTGAGTGAGGGGTGAGTGAGTCAGTGAGTGGTGAGTGAGTGAGTGGTGAGTGAGTGGCTGAGTGAGTGACTGTGTGAGTGGTTAGTGAGTGAGTTGTGAGTGAGTGGGTGAGTGAGTGAGTGAGTGAGTGAGTGAGTGAGTGCGTGAGTGAGTGAGTGAGTGAGTGGTGAGTGAGTGAGTGAGTGAGTGAGTGGTGAGTGAGTGAGTAGGGAGTGAGTAGGGAGTGAGTGGGGAGTTAGTGAGGAGTGTTTATTGAAAAGTACATTTACTTGAAAAGTCGTGTCGGCCATCTTGGATTTAGAAATAAATGCTATGTTCGTAATGAGCACCCTCAAATACCTCAAAAACGATACCCAACTTGCCATTATTTGAAAAGTGCGGGCACGACTTTTCATCCTGGATTTAGAAAGGAGTGCCATATTCGTTACGAGAGCACCCTAAATACTATATTGTCCACGCTATATTCGACCACAGAGGCACTCACTCACTCACCGTTATTTGAATTTTTTTTTTCGCTCTTGTTCCATTAATTCTTGTCTTAGAAAAGCAGTGATAATCAAAACACCCTCGCGCGCTGCACTCGTGGTAGAAACGGCTGGCACAGAAACTCGAAATACGATTTTTGCTTTCGAGTTCTGTTTACACGGAGACGTTATATTGAAAGGCGAGGAGATTATCGCTCACGTGGACGGTCCATAATCGCAAATGTTTAGACGAGGAAAGTTTTTTTATATTCTTTCGATAATCGTATCTTCGAGACGAGAAACTCTCTCCATCTAAATGGGCCTTAACGGTGCGCGAGCTGAGCGAGCGAAGCGAGCATGCCGCGACAGCAGCCGGCGAAGTACCAATATTAAATTTCGATGCGAAATTAGTAGGCATTTCGATGAGAAATCCTATTTTTGATATGAAAACGTTATTAATAATGTGTTGTACAAAATAATGTGTTATATCATTAATACACTACACTGGTAATACTTATTCATATTCATATTCATATCTTTATTTGCTTGTCACATGGTTTTACATAAGATCTTATGAAATTGATATTGTACCTTTACAAGTGACAACCTGTAAGGGCGCTGCAAATTGACTTATTAAACCATTATTTAATTACGTTGCGTTTAATGATTATGTAAATCATTATTACATTATTCTAAGATTATTACATTATAATACTGAAGGTTTGACTGAAGGTTTAATAAACACACTGAAATTATGCCCTTTGTTGTTATACCTCTTATTGATTATATTCAATGAGTATTTATATCCTTATAAATTATGTATATCAAATGTTATACCAAATGAAATGATATTATTTGTCGAAGTGAGAAAAAAATGATGTTCCGTTTGCAGATTGTAAAGGCCGCCACACAAAGGACGATTTGTCTTCGCAACTGATCGATAGTTGAAACGATGAATCGATAGTGTATCACAAATTAGAAATAACTTTATTAATAATATTGGACTACAATCAATTGGCGCATTTATAATTATAAACAAATAAGATGAATCGACTAAAGGGTTATAATAGATGGATTTATACGCACGCGACCTGTGGTCTATGGACCCAACTACAGTCGACATTTTTATCTCATTCGCACTTATTCGAAACTCTACGTATGTCTCGGAACTCGGAAGGAATAATGACGTTACACCATAGACTAGTGAAACACAGAAAATAAGGTTATGAAATTAGAATTTGTCTATGAAAAGAGACCCTTTTTCTTGTAAAATTCAGTCATTCCATAGTCCCCCTGTCGACTTCGAGAAAAAATGGCTGATAATAAATTATATGAAATTTTGGGGGTTTCAAAAAACGCAAGTGATTCGGATATAAAAAGGGTAAGATAATTACTATTTCTTTTCATAATTGCATGACTGCTTTATCCTTGGGAAATACCACGCATGTCATGTCATCTACTAGGTACTTGAGGCGAGAAAGGAAAACCTCTATGTTCAATAGATAGGGAGCATTGTAATCATTGTGTAATATTTATGGTTACAGAGCTATCACAAATTGGCGAAAGAGTTCCACCCAGATAAAAATCCTGCGGCGGGTGACAAGTTCAAAGAAATTAGTTATGCGTATGAAGTTCTTTCCGACCCGAAGAAAAGACAGGTCTATGACAAATATGGGCTGAAGGGTTTGCAAGAAGGTGGGCATGGCGGAGGCTTCCCTCCTGATGATCTCTTTGGCCATTTCTTTGGAGATATTTTCGGCATGGGCGGCGGTGGTGGCAGCAGAGGGCGAGGCAGAGCCAGGGGAGAAGACACTATTCATCCTCTCAAAGTATCTTTAGAAGATATGTATATCGGCAAAACTGCCAAATTGCAGCTAAGCAAAAATGTAATTTGCGGTGTCTGTAAGGGTGTAGGTGGAAAACCTGGTGCTGTTGTGTCTTGCAAGGACTGTCACGGGCAAGGCGTTAAAGTAACTTATCAACAGATTGGGCCTGGCATGACTCGACAATTCCAAACTCGTTGTCCTACCTGTCAAGGCCTAGGGGAGACTATCAATGACAAAGACAAGTGCCAGAAATGCAAAGGCAAGAAAGTCTTAAACGAGACCAAAATATTAGAGGTACATGTTGAAAAGGGTATGAGAGAGAATCAAAAGATATTCTTTAGAGGTGAGGGTGACCAGCAGCCTGATATGCAGCCTGGTGATGTTATCATCATACTGCAGCAAAAAACCCATGATGTGTTTCAAAGAACTGGTGATGACCTTCTTATGAAACATGATATAACTTTGACAGAAGCCCTGTGTGGTTTCGAATTTGTTGTGAAGCATTTGGATGGCCGTGAATTGCTAGTTAGACATACTGCTGGCGAAGTTATAAAGCCAGGTGATTTAAAAGGTATCCAGGGTGAAGGCATGCCACAGCACAAGAATCCATTTGAAAAAGGCAATCTGTACATAAAATTTGATGTAGTTTTCCCTGAAAACAATTTTGCTTCAGAGGAGCAGTTGAAAAAAATTGAAAGTATACTGCCACCACGACCAGCCTTTGTTATGCCGACTGGTGATGACGTAGAAGAAGTTAATCTGATGGAGTACACTGCTAGTGAACGAAACCGTGGCCGAGAAGAGGCATATGCTAGTGATGATGAGGAGCATATGCATGCTGGGCCTGGTGTGCAGTGTGCGCACCAGTAGTTCAATTATCCATTTACATGGATATTTACTCTAACCTCACATAATGTAACTTTAGCATAGGTAGTTTAATTAAATATCACAGCACTATAGGACGATTGCTAGGGTTACTTTGAGCAATAATATTAATGTATCTGTACTATGGCATTACGATGAGTTTCCTCTAACTTGTAAAAAATCTTCATCAAAATGGCATAGTGTAAAATCTGTGCATAAATTGTAATGTGTACATTTTACCTTACATAAGGCCACAATATAAATCAGCTGCAACAATATATTAGCTAACGCCTCATGTAATTCTTTGTGACTAGTTTATGGAGCATGTTAGTTTAATTAAATGCTAGTGAGAGTTGTTCATGTAATTCATTCCAGGGAGTTTTTTGTATGGCCAAGGCAAATAATCAACATTTATTTTAATAAGTGTGTTTCATTTCTATATTATATTCCTGTACATGTCATATTAGTTGTGGAATAAACTTCATGGCTGTTTTTTTTTAAATGGTACATATACCATTGTTTTAATGTTTTTTTAGTTAGTCTATTTGTTCAGAACATTCAAACTTGATTCAACAATGAAGTTTCCACAGTATATACATTGTGTTTCCCTTAATTTTATGTATTTTATTTACTTTCAAATTAAGGTTTAGGGTAAAACATGTTTGTGAATAAATTTGTCATATTTATTTGGTTTCTACATAATAATTATTTACAAGTTGGAAATATTCTTGTTTCTATTATGTATTATCAAGTGAAAATAAAGAAATACAATTATGTCTTTGTCACAATTAGCATTTTTATTTCTTTATCATTATCAAATGACTTAAGTTTTGCATGCCTTGCTCCAGCGTGACCATTGTCGAGTTTTTGAAATTTGACTAGTCTGGTGAAAAGTCGCCATTTTGTCGGTTCTAATCGCAAAAAACTAGATTTAGTCGGTCCGCCTTACAAAGGGTATAAGAACTACTAATTCTAGAATTTCGCAATAAGAACCGACTAATTTACGATTTTTTCTGGGTGCAATCAGATCCAAGCTAATAGCTGTAGATCTCGAGGTACAAAAATTGTGCCGCCGCGCCGGAATAAGCTTATTCCAGCGTGGACAGTAAAACACCTTATTCAACTTCAAAACGGCGCGTAACGACTAAATCAATATTTTACCACTAGAACCGCCTAAATCACGACTTTTTATAGTGTAATCAAATCGAAACTAGGTGTTGTGCTGTGGTTTTCGAGATTAAGAAATGGTGCTGCTGGAATAAGCTCATTCCAGTGTGGACAGTAAACACTCATAACTTTTGAACGGCACGGCGGACGGACTAAGTATAGTATATTGCGACGAGAACAGACTAAATGGCTACTTTTTACCTGACTAGTCATATTTCAAAAACTCAGCCATGCTCACGTTGGATCACGCTTAGTTTTGTATTAAAATACTGATCTAATTTTGTATCGCATTTGTACACTGTTACGTTTCTGGATTCGATATAGCTAAAGACCCTATAGAATCACAGTACTTTTTGAAGTCTTTCCTACTTCTACATAGGACATTTAAATTAATTTCGGACAGGCCCAACTTTCGCAATTTATTTAATCTTTGCTCCACCGTCTTCTGAGAAGCTGTCAGCACTCTGGGCTTGTTTGCAATGTCCTGGACTTCGAAACCCTCTTTTATGAGGAAATCTAGGAATTTTTTTACCTGAAAGAAACCAACATTCGATGTGAAAAGTGGAAAATATATCTAATGCTTTAATCAGAAGATGTCAAGTAATTAATAATTAACACACAAATAATTAATAAACGCCACTGTCGAAGTTCGAATAGCCTGAACGGCCACGTTGACGGCGAATCGGTTATACGACAAGTGTCATAAAACATGATCGCCTCGAGCTGATTCGCGCGTCAATAAATGCTATGACTTCCTTATTACTCGTAATTAGTTTGTACGAATTTCCACAATATTACGCTGTATGTGTTTCTTAAAATAATCAGTACAGAGTACTAAAAAAACCGACTTCAAAAGTCATTCATCTCGTAGTTTGCCACCCTCAGAGGTGGAATATTTTCTTGAAATTTAAATGGGACCATTTCTGAGATATCCTTTTTCCAATAAAAAAAGAATCATCAAAATCGATTCATAAAATCGGAGTTACCGCGTAACATATTATACAAAAAGAAACATACAGTCGTATCGAGAACCTCCTCCCTTTTTTGAAGTCGGTTAATGATTTTAGTTCTTTCGACTTCCAGGATATTTATTCTTTTTGACAAAAGCACTAATTATTGCGTGTATGAATTAGAGGTTTAGAGCAGAGCAGTAGCAGTGGAGCTCCTTGTGAAAGAGTTCGTCCAGCGAAGTACTACCACTTTACCTATTTCTACCGCCAAGTATAATGTCAGCGTTACTGTGTTCCGGTTTTGAAGGGTAAGGGGGTGCTGGTGAAATTACAGGCACATGGGACTTGTCAACTTATGTCTCAGGGTGACGGGCGCAGTGGCAGTGCCCCTGAGATCTTTGCCATTTAAAGCTCTGAGTGGCACTGTAACTGTTATGGACAGGCGAGTAGCGTACCATCAGGCGCACGACTTGTTCGTCCCGTCACTAGATATTATTAAAAAAAAATACGCGACAGCAATAAAGTGCCTAATGATGTGCAAGCACTATTGGCGAAAATAAAGCATTTTACAAGCTATACTATATTTTCTACAGGTAAAGCTTGTACCATGTACCTTAGTGACCCTAATTGTCTTCAGCGCGGGAATCCTTACACACATGTCCTCCACAGCTTCAGGTGTGGTGTTAAGGCGATTGGCCAAGTACACTTGAGTTGACATTGTGTCGCCTAAGATTTTCTTTGTGTCTCGAGATATTGTTATGAACCTGTAAATTATTATTTTACAATTTACAACACTGCCATTCCATGTTATAGAATAGGTATGGCAATGGCTGTTCAAAAATCATCATCATTCACAGCCTGACTTCAGGTTACCCTACTTGAGATCGAATCCCGTTTGATTAAACATTAATCGCTCAACTTAATTGGCAACAGCCAAAAAAGCGATTTTTTTAAAGATCTTTGGATTTAATTTACTTAAGAGCAATATTTAAAATCGATTTTGGTGAAGTAACCTATGCATAGTTAAATTTGTATTATTGGTGAAAACTGTTTAGCGCTAAATCGTTTAACTTGTGTTATTTCTAAGGTAATTCTGCAGTTACTTTTGAAGCAAATGTTTTAATTTTCGGTTTATTCAATAAAAACCCCTACATATGGGCATGGTTTTTCCACACACGAGCTGGAAATCGAACCCGGAACCTCGGCAGACCAGCATGGTAATCGTTCAGCCACGGAGACAGTTAATAAAGCGTCTAATTTTAGTTTTTTAATTAAAATGAACTACAGTACAGGTCACCAATGTAAATACATTTTCGATGCATAGGTACTTCACCGAATAAAAACTCTACTCTACTCATATAATTGTAAGTCAATGACTCTACTCGATAAATATGTGGGATAGCTGATAGCGAACTTTTCATTCACGAATTCAGAGGAGTTTTCTTACCTTGAAATGTAAAGAAAATGTTGAATATTCGAGCAATTAAATGTTTCATCAACCAACATTCGATCTCAAGTAGGAACCCCCTGACTTCACCCACTGTGGATACATATAAAACTGTAGTTGTGCATCCCCCACGATTTGGCACTAATCCAAACACATTATATGTATAATTGCGCCACAGACGCGCCTCTGCAGCGCTTCTATAACCGTCTAATTTCAAGGCGCCCTCAATTACTTTTCTATACATTTTTAAATATTTTTTTATTTACATACTATAGTGTACTAAATGTCACTCATATCCAACAAATATTCTAAACTAAATCAACAAAGGATTCCATATATTTTGTATAGTAATTATTTATTGCACATAGGTACCTATTCAATATGTCTTCATTACATCTAACCATCCAAGGGTATAAGGTATCCACCCCTAAGTCCTTAACTTTCTGCAATCTCTCACGGATTGTTTCATGATGGTATTTGAGTACCCATAAATCTCTTATGATCCTGTCACCTGCTACTCCCATTTCTAAAAAAAAATACATGAACATTATTCCTCATGTCATTGTATGAATTACATTAGATAGTCTAGTAGCTAAAAAATAATACAAGAGCTCTGCAAACGAGTACTGCAATGCACATAATTTATACATAAGATATGACAGGGTAAATTACATTATATTAATGACTATCAAAATTTACTAATTATTTATTATTATTTATTAGTAATTTTCAATGACTAACATGACTTGTAAAATAGATTAGCTAAATATATCAACCATAGAAAGATTATCAAATTAGTTTAAATTAATTAAATTGCTTTCAGGTATTTAAAAGATAAAAAAAATACACTATTGTATATCAATCTGTTTAGAACACTACAATGAATGATCATATACATACACAATATATAATTAAATAAAGTCCGCAATGTTACTTCATTTTAGTTTGGTAGGTCAATGACTTTAATACATAATTTTCTATTATACTCTGCTATAATTTGCTCCTTAATACAGGGACAAGAGCATGTAAATCTTGACACTAAAGATTTCAATTCAATTCTATGCCACTTACAATAGTCCAAAATGTCAAGTGTGGTGTAGTCTTGTCTGTACCAAATATTAATCGCTTACGTTTATATTATGCAAATAGTAAACTATTTTATTCCAAAAAGAAACAGCGCAGCACACACACATTTAACAATTACAATACATAATGAATATAACATGAAAAAAACGAAAGAAAAAAATTTATTTTATTAAGATAATACACATACAAACAAGAAATAAATAACTATAACAACAGATAATCAAGTGATAACATTATTTTTGTCATAATATACCTTACCTAGTAATACATTTAAGGAGCTTTCAATCCAGTCAAAGGACAGGCTATAGATAAATATTCTCTGTGCTAGACATTCACTAAGTTTTGATGGAGGGCACTGTAATTAAAATAAAATACAAATTGATGCAAAAGGTTACTAACAGGTCATAGATCGATAAATTGTTGGGTAGGACCTTTTACCTCTATAGTACATTTGTAGTCTAATAAGATATTCTGTGATGCAGTCTATACAAAATATTTAAATTGAACAAAAGAATTCTGAACAGTGAGTCTTTGAAATTAATGACTATTTAATATAATTATAATCATAAAGTTAATATTGATTAGTAGTTGTCACATTTAATTGTTTTTGTGTTTAATTGTTATTGATAATTATAGAACAATAATTACATTTACAAATACAATTGGATAGGAATTGACAAGTAGTTTGGCTTCAATTTGGAAGCCTTTCAGGGACAAACAAGCAAGGCACTAAGGAAAGTATTTTTTATTGTTTCTTTATATTCAAAAGGCATGTACAGTCAATAGCACATCAAGCTATACATTTTTTTACAAATATCACCGCGACAGCAACAGAACAAGATCCATCAATGTTTAGCTTGATATGCCACTGTCCATAAAGGGACAGCCAAGAGCATAACAATCTTAACAATATGGACAGTGCTTATCCCAAGCAACAGTGTTGAAATTAAATCTTAAATGTGAAGCTTAACGTGCTTCTGAACCTGTACTCCTATTATTCCTTGAAATATCACTATAAGTGTATTTGAAGCATCGAGTATATAACCAGTAATAGAGACGAAATAAGGGCCATATATTCCTGGTAACACATTAGCGATACAGCTCTTATAAATATCAATTCTCGTTTGCACTGAAATATAGACAACCAACTACTGACCTGTGTGTACGTTTGCATATATTCCAAAAAATGTTGTATTTGGTGGTATTTATTATAATAATAATAATAATAAAGATATAATATCTCTAAGAATGCCATGCTGTTATATGTATTCGGTGGTGTAGGAAAAACATCTAATTACAAAACAATCAAATACAAATACAAAGGAATCACATTTCATCAGTAATTAAATATTAAATATGTAATTTTGCAATTTTTGTTCATTATAGCAAAGTTCAAGTTTACTGGTCGATTTGTAGTGAAACAGTTGACGACACCCGCCAATTGTTTCGAATTCGGGCTCAATCAAAGCGCAGTTGTCCTGTGACAACTGCGCTCCTATTGGCTAGCCGAACAGAATAGTTTTCAAACAAATTAAATGGCATTTCGTCTCTATTTCTGGGTATATACTCGATGATTTGAAGTAAGCCAAATATTTAATTATGTTAATTACATCGGAATCATGAACTCACCTTAATTTTATGTGCAATGAAGTATAGCCTATTTGCGCAGTAGCCATTCAGAACGTCATTTTGAGTTACTTTCTGAACATGAAGCAAAGTTCTAAACGGCAGTTTATAAAAGGGTAAAGCATCTTCTTTGGATATAAAATTAAGTTTTTTTACGAGTTTCGCTTTGGTTTCATTATCTAAAAAATAGATGTTACAAGAGTAAGAGTACCGAAGTCACACTATCGTATAATAATTCTTATCCCACGACACAAACAAATATTCCATCAATGTTGTAGGTTCTGGATTTCAGTTTTAAAATTGATGATACCAACCAAAGTCTTTCCTCTCTGTTATAGAAACATGTCGTCTAGTGTGTGCATTTCGATCAATTGTTATTAGCCCATAATTTACAAAGCCTTTTAAATTACACAAAACTTTGGGAAGACAAAATGATACTCTCTGTATGTTTAACACACTGTCTTGACGTATAAAAGATAACAAAACCGATCTCAACAACATTATTCAAATAAGTCAGCAGCTTTCAGTTCATTTCAAATAAGTAATAAAACAAGATAATTGTTTATAAAAGACACCAAAATCATGTACAGATATTACTCTCGTTGGTTCTGTTTTTATTAATCTTATTGTAAATTACAGTAGACTTTTTTTAGGTTAAGTTTATTTTTCTTTTTTTAAATTCTGTTCAGTTCGTCAAAAAAGGGCAAGTGAGAGTCAAATCATACTGCCTCATCTTCAGCTAGGAGTAGACATGACAAAAAACTGTTTGTCATTAATTAATTAAACTGTTATGTCTTTTCAACAACTGTTATTGTAAACTGTTGCCAGAAAACATGTTAATCTGCTGTTGTGCAGTGCATTATTCTTACACAATCTATGGGTCGTATTCCAGAACTCTACTCAATGCTCAAGTCGAGGAGTATTAAATACTTTTTTGTTTTAAATAAATGCTTTTTTGTTTTATTCGTCCAAAAAGAACAGGCTTGGGTCAAATCAAATAAATGCGTAGTAGAGGCTCTACTACACATTTATTTGATTTTACCCAAGCCTGTCGTTTTTGGACGAGTAAAACAAAAAAGCATTTAGTTGACGTTTCCCGATCATAAATAAATATTTTAAGTTGGTTCGGTTCTCAGAAAAATAGTATCTCATAATAGTTCTAGTATTAGTGGTGGTTTGTGGTTTGCGGGAAATAGAATAGAATAGAATAGACCGTATGTTTTGAATGCAAATATTAATTTTGAATCACTATAATTTGGTTCGTGTTAGTTTTAATATTTGCATTAAAAATATTTAAAATTCAGTTCATCAGTCTATAGTTTTACAGCTCTAAATCATGTTAATTTTCTAGAAATAAGCTAAAAGAAAATATTATGGTATTTTATCACAAATTGTTGACGAAATGGGAAGGTATACAATATCAATACAATTTCTTCCTCTATAGGTTAGTGTCTTAGTTCAGACTGTATCCATATTAATACTTTACAGACATAAGGAATGGAGGAAAACTGCTAAAAAAGAGAGGAGACGTAGAATTCGAACTCAACAAGCGAAGCAGAGAGGTATTTTAGTTATTATCTGATACACTTTATTCTATTTTTTTAACCCTTAATTTCAAATTTTCAGATTATATTGATGAAACATCGACTGAATACGCCGATTGGCTGAAAGAACAAGAAGAATTGGAAAGGTTTGAAATAGAACAGATCGAAAGAAGTAATAAAGAGGAGCAACAGAAATGGCTGCATGCGGAAATGATTGCAGTAGAGCAATGGCACAGACTACAGGAGAAAAGAGAAATTCTTAGACAACAACAACTTGAGCAGGAAGCTAGGCTAAAAATGGTAATTGGTGTATTACTAGGAATTTTATGAAATTGTTAAGTATTAACTTTTTTTTGTAAACCTTCATCTGAGAGGAGACCTATGCTTTCCCAGCAGTGGGACATTTAAAATGGGTTGATGATGATTAAGTATTTACTTTAAAAACTACTGTATAGGAACACAACACCAAGGACTACCATTGAAAGACAACATAATTTCTTATACATTTAAATTGTTTGTTCAATTACATAATGTTATGTGAAAGAATTGTGTGTGAGATTTTAACGATTTGCTGTACATATGTTAATTAGAACATTTTAATAGCGATCACCATCACTTTTTTAGGAATGGGAATTAGAGCAAGAAAGAAAGAGAGAAAGGGAAGAAAGACTAAAGTACATAGAAGAAGAACACAAAAAAAGACAAGAGATTTTTATGAAGCACTTGGAAGAGTTCTTATCAGGAGATTCTAATGAACCTCCATCAGAACTAATGGTGTGTCGAGAAACCAAACCAGAGTGTGATCTGTGCCCATTCTTCAATAAAACTGCTTGCTGCCGATTTGGGGATCAGTGTTCCAGGAACCATAGATACCCTGGAATCAGCAAAGTAATCACTACTTTATTGTTTTAGATTGAAACCTGCATGCCACTGAAGGTTTTCACAATTATATATTGTTTACTTGTGACTCAGATTCAGAAGAATAAATATGGATACCATGATCAATGATGAAGTGACTACTGTACCTACAAATACACAATTCGAAAGAAATTGACAAAATTGCATTTGGAAATTAATGTCCAAATAATTTACAGTTTCTTATAATTACTCATCATATCTCCCTAAATGCAATTTTTTTATGAATTCACATCCAAATGATTGACTGTTTCTTATAATCACTCATTATATCTCCTTAAATGCAATTTTTTCATGAAGTAAAAACTTAGCATATCCAACTTTAGGTCTTGTCTTAAGTATATAAGATCATTGGTCTTAATATTTGGTAGTCACTATCATCTATTAAACAAATTAAATATACTCCTGGACACATATATCGAGCCACCTTGAACTTTTATTCTTAAAGGGCAGCACATAAAAATATTGTTATCACTGAAGAAAACAGTTTTTTCCGATTTTATAAATTTAAGATATCAAACAAGGACTCATTGAAATGACATTTATTATACCAATTTCAAAATAGCTTAGTTGTTTTTGATCAATCAAACATTGTTTAAGCTTAGGCCAATTAATACTGAAAATGCAAGGTGGCTCGACTTACATGTCCGGGAGTGTATATTAAAGGTGAGTTGAAATATAGATATATTGTATTGTACAAGAGTATACTGCAATATTTGAAGCAGGGTTTGAATTATATTTACATTGTTGCAATTACATGTAAAATTTAATATAAAATTAATTGGTAATTTTCAATTGCAGGTTCTTTTAGCAACAAATTTCTACACCCATTTTGGATTGGAGAATGCAAACTTTAATGAGTATGACACAGATCTGATGCTAGAATATGAAGAGAATGACACATATAAGGAATTTAAAGAATTTTTTTATGATGTTATACCAGAATTTGAAAAGTTTGGTAGAATTGTACAATTCAAGGTGAGTTTTAGCCTGAGGAATGTTCTTCATTGTATCCTTTGAAAAAATGTGTAAGTATTGAATAATCAATTTTGAACCTTGTTATTTACTTGTTTAACAAGGGTATTATTTACCAAATATTAAAGCTTCAGTAAGAAACTTTAACTTTACGGAATTACATATTTATACCTTGTATTCTTTAAGTTTCTATCATATTTAAATTTCTTTAACTTTAAATTTTATTCATGGCAATTACTACATCAGGCTTGGACTTACATGAACTTTAAGGCATGATGATGAGGTGTGTATAAATGGTAGTATAAAATGGTTAAGCAATATTTATTTATTTATTTAGTAATGTAATGTTACAAGGCATTCTCTATTAGTCAACCATTGGACCAAACAAATAAAAACCATAGCTTAAAAATTAAAAAATATACTATAAATATATATTAAGGTGCTATACTTAAAACTAGAATAACAAAATATCATAAAACAAAATATCACAGTTTTATATAGTTAAAATAAACATAACATAAATATTCTTGACATACATGTATAAGAAACATACATGTATATTATAATGGTGTATGTACTATAATATATTACTTATAATATTATGTATTAATCTTTATATAGGTATGCAATAACTTTGAGAAGCATCTGCGAGGTAATACATATGTAGAGTTTGCAGAGCTGCGCTGTGCAGTAGCAGCATACCGATTTTTGCACTCTCGTTGGTATGGCGGTAAACAACTTTCACTGCAGTTTTGCAATATTACCTCTTGGAAAAATGCTATTTGTGGTATGCTATTTATTATTATTACTACAAATACAATTTTATATTTTTTGCAATTTTAATGTCATTACAAAACTTTATGATTCAGGTTTACAGTCAAGAAAACGGTGTCCTAAAGGTCGCGCGTGTAACTTCTTACACGTCTTTAGAAATCCGAATAACTTGTTCCACAATTATTTCACCGAGCATACACCCAGGGACTCTGGAAGGTATGTTATAATTAGTCACAAAGCTGTTCTATGTTGTATATAGGGGCAAGTTCTAGTATCATTTCTATACTCTACAAGCACAGTGTAAAGAGTGGGACATGAAGTGTCGCGAAATGCCGCTTTAGTCTAGACATTACGTCTTACAGCATCCCTGCTGTAATGAAATTGAAACACACGGTGAAATCCCTTTCACCGTGTGTTTTTTTATTTAGTCTGTTGGGGTGGGTATCCTACTACTTTGTTCATATCGGGAATAATTAAAAAAAAGATGTTGGTATGGTGCATTCTTATAAACCGGTTTATAGAATGTTCCGTATTTGTAGTGTGTAATACACAAGGAATATAATTTTTTTAAATATGTTATACGTTTAAATGTTTTATTTTAAACAAAACACACTCTCACTCAATTTTTTCCAAGTTTTCCGATTAAATAGGATCTTCCACATGCTTCAATAAAAAACTTACATCTGAAAATGATACGCATTTAATTAGCTACTTTGTTTATGTATTGTATCAAGTCTGTCAAGGATTTAATTATGATATTCATATCATCAACCCCGATAATATCTAAAACATAGGTTCCTAAACTTTAGGGCTTACCGCCCATTTAAGCATTTTTATATTCACTTAACACAAAAAATCACAAGGAAGCAAATTATATATATTTAGTGTAGTTTATAAAGATAATTCGGTTTTTTTTTTCAAATGCGATAGCACTCCCTGGACAGCATCAACGCCCCCCAAGCGCCACCACCACTTTGGGAAACTATGATCTAAAACGATACACAGTTATTGCTTTTAATTGAATAGTCGTGTCCGCCATCTTGGATTTAGAAATAAATGCTGTATTCGTAAAGAGCACACCCAAATACTTCGAAAACGGTACCCAACTTGCCATTATTTGAAAAGGCGTGCCCGCCATCTTGGAATTATAAATAAATGCCATTTTCATAATGATTATTAATGGTCGGAAAAAGGTGTTCCACTATAGATATACATGTAGACATAGCTACAAGGAGGGACATAAAGTTGTTAAAATCGCCAAATATTAATTAATTACTTTTTCGAGTTCTGGATTTCCGGAAATGGTTTTAATGTATAGTAGGATAAACTACTGACCTAGGAAGTCGAAGTTGGATTTGAAAGTAATTCTAATTAGTGCCTTGTAAAAAAATGCAGAAGATAACTGACAGCCTTGTTGTCGTTCCGTCAATATGCGGGCCTCGGTGCGGTATTTAAAGCTAGGGAGGCCCTCCCTTTTTTTTGATGATTATCACGTAAAATTAATTTACGAAAATTTTTTTCGCCCATCTTGGATTAAGAAATACCATATTCGAATAGATAACTAATAAATAACTAAAAGCAAGCAGATTGATTTTAGTCTCGGCGCGTCGTGAATGTCCGCCATTTTGCTTTAAAAAAATATTAGCAAAATATAATTTCATTACCTAAAGCTCCAAACAAAATAAAACTAATTGACTCACCTTTTTTTTTTTGAAGATTTTTATCTAGGCGATGTGATGATACGTAGTCTCTAATAGCACATGTAGTATTTTCCACTCAACAAATCACTACAACACACGAAAAATGTTGACGTAAAAGCCGCCGCCCTGAATGGTGTGTCCCGAGGGAGTATATAGCAACTCGGACTCGCACCCCTCTATCGTCTCACACAGCCGCACGATTGCTCCGTCTAGACGTGTCCGTTGGCCGACTGTAGGAATTGGTTACATTGTGGTACAAGTATAATTAATGTACGTACGTATTTCTAGGTCACAGAAACCACCACGTCGGTCATGGCGGTGGTCTGAGTCGCCAGAAGTAGAAGTACCGAAAAGAAGGCGATCCAGATCAAAAGAGAGGAGGGATCGTTCAAAGTCCAGAGAAAGGGCCAAGAATAATACGGAAAACTCCCTACGGAAGTCTAGAGTTCGTGAGAGTTCTAGAAGTTACAGAAAAAGCTCTCGAAACAGACGTTCACGTTCGCATTCGCGTCGATCTAAAGATCTAATGTCACCAAGATCTAAAGATCTAATGTCACCAAGATCTAAAATGTAAAAAAAACCAAACGTTTTCTTAGAAGGTTTTTATAATACAATTAAAGTTATTTCTAGGAGAAACTAAATGTCTCTTATTTATCCAACCATAACAAATAAAATAAATCAATCGGAAAACAACCTACGCCTGCAGAGTTTTTTAAATTCCCGCCATTCGTATAATATTATTTTTAATTTTGGTTTCTTTTTTAATTTTAACTGAACTTAGGTATTTTAGATATAGGGCACGCAAATCAACAGGCATGCACTGGATAGGGGGTACACTAAAACCACATTAATATATTTTTTGAATACCCACAAATTATTATATACGTTTACGCTGTTTAACTTGGTAGTTAAAGACGTTGCTATAATGGAGAATAAAATTAAACGGTGCATTTACTGTGATAATCAGTCAGAAATGGTCGAATTATTGAGTTCTGGTCTTGATCCAAACTATGAAGGAGGTTGGCCCATTAGACTTGCCGCTCGACTTGGATCCTACTCGGTAGTAAAATCGCTAATCCAACATGGTGCGGATCCGCATTTATTGAGTGAATCTGGTGAGTAAATAAATAAAGACCATCTTATATAATTTCAATGTTAAAATTGTGGTTTTTCGCATTTCAAGGCGCATCAACACTTCAGCTAGCTGTATTTTCCAACGTGCATTGGGAAACTGATAGATGGAACTTCCTTTTGTCTTGTTGTGACTCCTCTCAATTGGGGGATGGTGCCGCTGTTGCTATTATTTTCAGTAATATTCCGGCGCTTATAAAAATTTTAGAAACTGGTCGTTGCAATACGAACATTCCCACAACATTAACAGGTTTGAATCTTTTATTTAATATGCTGCTTGTCTACTTAAGTATAAAGCGTAACCTACATTTTGTTTTTACTAGGTAAAACTGTTGAAAATTTAGCAAAAGGTTACAAAGTGCATTACGTACTTAACAGACCATCAGGTCAGGTAAACAGTAGACAAGAAACAACGAATCCTTCTCCACGGATGTCGAGACAAAATAGACCGCCGGCAAGTATTTTTGTACCTTAATAAATACGTAAATATAAATGAATATAATTATATTAGACAATGTTGCATACGTTACTCTGATCAGCCACACTAAGTAGCTAAAACACTTGTGTTATGGAAATCTGAAACAACGATGATACCACGAACACCCAGACTCGAGACAATATAGAAAAGTTTCTTTTCTACATTGACCTGTTCGGGATCGAACTTGAGACCTTAGAGGCGGCAACACCATCCGTCACTTGATGTTATAAAAAAAATAAATCATGAAAGTCGGTATGCAAGCCACCCGACTACGGAGGCCGTCAAATATCTTTTTTAGTACCTTTAGATTTCTGTGTTTTGATGTAATAATAACAAATTATATAATGTCACAAATACGCTCATGCTATATTGACTTTATATTTTAACATAATATCGATGGGTCCCATGTAGGTATAAGGGCCAAAGCGCAAAACCACAATTTTACAAGAGAGGCTTCCAAACTTTCAATCTCATATATTTTCAAATTTCCTTGTATTTCGAGGTTCCCTTGAATATGTTCGATTTTGTTTTAACGCTACCTTATAGATTATAATGAAATGACGCATTTCCCACAAAAAAGTGAAAATGATAAAATTGTTAGTTTGGCCCATAAACTTAAGACCCATCGATATATGCGTTGCAAACGTGATGTCATGCCTAGGAGCACTACACACGTTTGCAGTTTGTCCCACACTAGGCAGTCTGTCCTGTGGCGACCCTATTACGATTTCATGAAATTAAATGAAGTTTGACAACGGTATATTACGTTACACGTTGCATTGTGATTGTTTTAATATTAATAATAATTTGCAATGCTCTGAGACCGACCTTGGAGCATCGCGGCGCATTTCTCTCTGCGTCTCAGACCATTGAAATTTATCCTTAATCAATAGCAATACCATAAAAATATACGAGTATAGATAAATTTAACGCCCTCTTCCTTGCCGTCTTTCGGTTTGTGCTCGCCCTTACTTATGACTTCTACGCACTTAGGAAAACGATTATAAAAGTAGAAATACTTTTATAATCGTCATTTCCTAATATGTTATATATAGAAATATATTTATAAATAATAAAAAAATATTTTTCTAATTTTTAGAGTTGCAGTTCAGGAACTATTATTACGCATCACCACCGCAACTTATCCCCGTCAGTCGCTAGATTCTTCCACCAAACAGCCGGTCAAAGCGGTTTAACGCCACCTAGGAGTCCCATTATAATCTCATCACCAACTATTCGCCCGTGACTGCTTGGTTTCCTGGCCACAAGTAATCATGCGTAACCTAACAGTTAATTGACTAAGCTATGAAAAAATATACCTGCCCAATATAACTCCACGATTAAATAAATAAAAAAAAGCAATTTAAATTGTGGAAATTGCGCAAGCAACAGCATGCTGGGTTTTACACTTATGATTTAAATTCTACTCTATACCGCTTATAATAACGATGTACGGGTCACAATCCGAAGAATAAGGTCCAGCGTGCTGTTGCTTAAAATAACGTTTAATGAGTTTACAAATAACGGTAAAAGTAAAGGTGTCGATCGAGACTATCGGCTGCATTCAATATGACTGGACCAATGCAGACCAACAAGAATAACATTATGTATAAAATTGAGCATAATAGTTCAATGCGTTTTCTTTGGCCTGCCTTCATTGTTTAATTCACGATAATTTTACGTAATGACCTAACTATGCACAATAATCACGGGGTTAAAAAGTGGGGGCACCCAAAGCGTAACACGTAAGTAATAGTGGGCAAAAGAATTTTTTGGTAAGAGATCTAAATAGAAACTCATTTACTTTTAAGTACACCATTATATATGAGCCTGTCAGCGCAATAGTGACGGAACCCATATAAATTTTTTTTTAATGATACTAAACTACCTACCTACATAATTATTATATATTTGAAAGCTATTTTAATGTATGAAAAATATTTAATTATA